GCGACAGCAAAAGCATTGCAATGCCCATAAATACAAGTCGCTTTGTCAAAACAGATGGGCCTGTTAGAAAGCCTTTCCTGACACAAAATTTACTGCAAAAAAAAGATGGCATGAGGTTTGCATTAAAAAGAGTAAGATGGTATTTTAAAGGAATAGGATCAACAAACAATGAGTAAGAACTACATGGGAAGAGAACATTTTAAAGGAGCAGTTATGACAGACAGCACTTCATGAATAAGAACAAAAACAGAAAGAGCAGACTTATCATGGAAGATATAATATCAAGGTAGCAATAGTTGTTTCAAAGATTGTTAACAACTAGAATATACAATAATGAGCTTCATGGTTTCCTTCATCAATCATCTTGAAAATTTCAGGTAAACCCTATTCACCCTGCACTGCACATAACTGAGAGCAGCACATGCAAGGCTTCACAGACATTCTATTATCATATATCACAAATGATATTAAAGTGACACAAAGACCTCAATTTATCAACAAAGTAAAATGTATCCATCAATAAAATCTACTAGGACTGGTTTAGAATAGACTACCTACCTGGCAACAGCATTCTATTTTTGACATTACCAGTAAAAGTATCATCAATTTGACACTTGTACATACACATTTCATTTCATATTAGTTCCTTTTTCTTTCATAACTCTTACTTGTTCTAAAAACTAACTCGCACTGCTTAACCAATAAGTTTGAAAAAAAATAATACTAGCAGCGTAGTTTACTAATTATAGATACAGGGAACCAGAAAAAGGAACAAACTTCCTTACCTATCAAACATGCTATGAAAGATGCACCAATTTAAGGCCCACTCTAGCGTCTTTGGAAGCATAAGATAGCTTTTCCTTCCATGGAAACACGAACTGACAGTTGGTCCTACTCCAGGCAGCCAACAGGCAATCGGAAATGCAATAATGCCTTTATTAACCATCCCAATTAAGTAGTTCTGTTTCCGCATTAATCTCATGATAATATCATGCTCTGAAAGATCCTTAACAACGCAAAGTTGTTGTGACTTCTGGAGGAGGACAACCTTCTCAACTACTTTGGGCCATGATATAGTTTGAATCTCCAGATCTGTGACCTTAAGACTGCAAAATGAAGTAACAGAAACAAAATGATACATCATTTTTCTCTCAAAGAAATGTTTACCAATATGTGGAATACATGAAATTGAAATATTACCTGTTATAGTAGAAGTCACGAACATTGAGTATGCTTCTCAATTTTACAAAGAACTTGATTAAGTTAATAATTCCATATGTCGTCAATATAACCATTGATCCAATAGTGATAATCTTCACATATGTTAATGGAACTAATGGGTCATTCTTGATGACATTCATTAGGTCACATGGTTTATCCCCGATCTCAAGTGCTTCCACTCCACATTTCAAATGGCCAAGGGCATTCCAGTCAACAAACAAGAAGAAGAAACCAATAGCACATACCATAAATGTAACATTAAGTATCTCGATTATCCACTTGGTGATAATGCATCTTAAACCCTTTGCACAGAAATATTCATACAGTCTCTCAAAGAAAATATCCAAATCATGAATCAGCTCAACCTTGAAGTCCTCCCCATGGAGAAGTCTTGTTGGGTTCTCACAATATGAGCATGGTAGTCTCAGGTAGTCCGATAACTCTACTTCAGGTGGAATTTCAGCAAGCAGATGTGTTGAAAGTGTTGATTCTCTTCTCAACGGCCACTTGAATAATCTTTTAATATTTGTGCCCTTCAGAAAGAAGGACATCATATATGGAAACAGAACCCGAGACAAGCTGAAGGCTTCCTTGCCATGCCACTGCTGATCACCTGGTTGATAAAGTTTTTTCCTTAAATGATTCATTCATCATATTCATACACATTGCAACAGACATTCTGATTAAAACATCCAACAAGAAATTACCATCTATCAACCAAAAAAGGAAAAGCATCCAGTCTCATCCATAAAAAAAAGCAACAACAAAATGAATATTTCAATTAACCAAAAACTATGCTTTGTGCATCCTATTTAGGAATGATAGAAAATTCTGGCATGTTTGGCTTCGGCTGAAAGCTGCAGCAGCTGCACCGATTCTACCTCAAACTACAGCATTTTGCAGCTGTAAAATCCGATGCACCTGCAGCAGCTGAAGCTGCAGCGAACAGGCCCATCACAACCCTGAATTTGTTTTCTAGTCCTGGAACGAAGACCCAATTATAGAAACTTTAAGCCCCTGCTGCATCATGCACTAGTTGTAAAGTGTAAACTAGGCTTACTCGAAGTCCACAAAGCATGAACTCAACTCGAAGCCAAAGCTTTATAATTTTTCCAAGGTTGTCCTCGGCAGGGGCGGGCCCAGTAAAGGACAATGGGTGTGCACATGTACACCCGAAAAATTTTACAAACAAAATCGAAGGTAGTGGCATAATATATGTATGAGTATGACTGTAGTTAGATCAGATTCGAATATAAATAACCAAACAGCTTAAGTTAGGGTTTGGGTGCTCGGCTTTGCACAGAAGGAAGAGAAGAGACGGGGTGGGCATACCTGGTGTGCTCGTCGCTGGCGAAGGGGGAAGAAATCCTGGGCACCTGGCGAAGGGCGGCGGCGGCCGCAGTGTCGTCGCCACGAGAGAGAGCACGCGGGGAGAAGGCAGAAGGCAGGGGTGAAAGGCAGTGCTCAGGCGGTTAGCCGGTTAGCGGTTAGGCCTCAGGCATCCAAAACAGATCGTTAATCTTAATTATAAGTAAGATACAGTAATTAATATTAAGATAAACGATCAAATATCAAAGTCGCGTCAGGTTTGGGTTGGGTTTTAAATAACGCGAAACTTCTTTCGACGGTCGGAAGTCCGAACCGGACACCGCCCCCAAATTTTAGGCTCAAGGCCACCGGCCACCAGTAGACAAATCTGGTTGTTTTTCGACGATGAGTTTACAGTCAAATTTAAATATGTTCGTGCGTAATAGTACGTATAGCCTCTATCGTCTTTTTCTAATACATCTTAAAATCATATTATGTATCGTGGCAAAGTGCACACTATTCTATCTAACTCATATGACAACGATTATGAGTTCGGATCACGGATGAAACAGTAAATAAGTAGAACTATTATCTTGAATTCCTCATATATTATAACTTTTATTAGTAAAACCAACCATGACAGGGTGGATGCACAAATACACACAAAAAGAGTGACTCACTAGAAGTGGGATTTAGACGATGTTATGTCAGACTAGAGGTGTGACTTAGAGCATCTCAAGAATCTTTTTAAATCTCACTCTCTAAATCATCGTTTAGAGAGTCATTTGCATAAAAATCGTTTTTTATATCTTTTCACTCTCCGATAGTTTTATCTACGTGTTGTTCGCCTGATGGTTTTTGCGGCTAATAAGTCGGCTAATATTGTTTTGTTGTGAGAGAAAAACAATGTACAATGGCTGATAAACCGGTCTAATAAGTTCAAACGAACAGGGAATCTCATGCGTACTCTAGAGAGTCATTCTCGTCTTCTATTTTTTGCTAGCGAAAAATACGAAATAGAAGATGGCTATATTTGATAACTATTTAAAGGGAGGATAGTTTTTCAATAAAAACTCTAGCATTTAGGAATGATATAGAGAGTGTCTTGAGATGCTCTTAGACCCTGTCATGCATCTGTGACTCACTAGAGGTGGGACTTAACCTGCAAAATTTGCTCGCCAAACTTTTGGTAGTTTCGTGCTGCGGCGTGCCACAAGTGCGGTAGCTAACCAAACAATCGTTGCAAGTTAGACGCAAAAATTGTGACACGTTTTGGCAACTTGTGGTAAACCAAAAACATTCTTAGACTGCATGGCATGGCACTGTCTAAGTTTCTCCTCTAGTCTAGCATGACATAATCTTCTCATGCTTTATACCGGTTCAGAATAGTGCTTTTAGACACACTAAATCATGTCTATATCAGCACAACAAGTTACTTTAGTGCAAAAACGGCCCTCGAAATATCTTTACTTTTTTTTCTATCCATAAGACCATAACCTAGAAAACACATGAAATTGCTATATCAGGTGTCTAAATTTTAAGATGATTTCTGACTATAATCTTGTACAAACAATTAGTACAATTAAAAAACAACTAAGAGATAATTTATATTTTTTATAGTCAAACATGGACAAAATTACTTACGCCTTAACAACAATAATAAAATCAAGTACCTAAGGTATAAGAGAAGTGAGGAAATTATATTTTATATATAGACCTCATTCTACACAGCTCAGTTTCACCAATGAAGGTGAAGCTGTTTTTTTTAACTTTCATGAGTAGTTTTCTTGGTGAAACTGAGTGTTTTAGATAAATTGTTCATATATGGCTGAGAGTGAGAAAGGAGGGAGAGCTATGAAAAACTACTATTTCCAACTTCAACTCTTTCCATTCCTTTGTGGGTGCATAAAAAAAAAGAGCTTCACCCTATGACTATGAGCTATTTTCAAAAAGAGTGTTTGGCAAAAGAAAAAACAACTTGTACTATGAAACTGTTGGTGGAGCTGTGATAAACAAACCCTTAACGTTGATACGCCCTTAAGCAGTATTATCGAGGATAAAAAGAAAAGTCGACGAATCTGAATCCCTCCATCCACTAAAAAAAAATCTGAATCCCTCCAGCGGGGTTTTTTTTTAGAACAATCCCTCCAGAGGTTGGGCAGTTGGGTCCGTGCTTGTGTAGCCCGCCTGCACGGGGGTACGCGGACTGGTCCAGCCCAACCACTGCCCTCCACAATCAGATCCAGAAAACAGTAGCGGCTCCACAACAGATCCACCCAACAACAGGCCACTTTGCAGAGCTCGCCGGAGCCCTCTGCCGCCGGTCCATCTCTGGCGCAGCCGCGCAGGACATTTGGACGATAGTTCAGTTATTACGGAAAGCGCGCACTTAACCACGCAAGGTAGGTCACCTATAAACTTCCTCTATTGTTATTAGAACAGGCTGAAGTGAACAGCAAAAGGCTTTCTCAATGGCCGCCGAAGCGCAACAGCAGCTCCTCGTGCTCCTGCTCGCCTGGTCCTGGCCCTTCTTGGTCAGCTCACTAGCGCGTGGAGTTGCCAGCAGCCTCCACCCAGTCGTCCTGCTGCCCGCATACAGCTGCAGCCAGCTCGACGCGCGGCTCACCCACGAGTTCGAGCCCTCCACGGCGCCGAGCTGCGGCGAACGCATGGGGAAGAAGGGGTGGTTCCGGCTGTGGGAGAACTACACGGCGCTGCAGGAGGACCCTGCACTGGTGCCGTGCTACGCCGAGCTGCTGCGCCTGGTGTACGACCCTGTCGCCGGCGATTACCGCAACGTGCCGGGCGTCAAGACCCGCGTCGTGCCGTTCCGCGCCAAGCGGGGCTTCGGCTCCGATGATCCTGCCACAAAGTAAGACATCCTTGCGTGAAACATATCAATTAACAAGTCAAAAATTTTCTCCTGAAATTTGTCTCAATCTTGTTGTGCTGGTACACTCGCTCGCCAGGAACATCTGTATGGGAAAACTCATTCAGGCACTGGAAGGAGTCGGATACAGAGAAGGCAAGAACCTCTTCGGTGCGCCGTACGACTTCTGATACGCGCCGGCGCCGCCCGGCCAGGCGACCAGGGAGTTCTCCCGCTTCCTCTCGAACCTCAGGATGCTCGTGGAGCAGGCAAGCGAGAGGAACGGGGACATGCCGGTCATCCTCGTGACGCACAACTTCGGCGGCCTGAACGCCAACGTCTTCCTCAGCCGGAGCCCCCTGGCGTGGCGCCGGAGGTACGTCAAGCACTTCGTCATGGTCTCCACCGGTGCTGGCGGCGGCGTGTTCCCCCTGCAGTTCGGCGGTTCGAATTCGTCGTCGCCGCCGCCGATGGACCCGCTGTCGTTCGCCAACACCAGATTGAGCTTCGCGACCGTGTTCTCGGCCCTGCCGTCCCCCAAGGTGTTCGGCCACGCGCCGCTGGTGGTCACGCGTGCCAAGAACTACTCCGCCTACGACATCCCCGAGTACCTCAAAGCCAATGGTTTCTCTGACGACGAGGTGGCGCGCTACGTGACCAGGGTGCAGCCGGTGACGCTGAGTTTCGGTGCGCCGGGCGTGCCGGTGACCTGCATCAACGGTATCGGCGTGCCGACGATGGAGAGGCTGGTGTACTGGGACGGCGACTTCGGTGCGAAGCCTCAAGTGGTTTACGGCGACGGCGACGGGGCCATCAACATAGCCAGCATGTTGGCTTTGGCCACGTTGATCGGGGCTCAACCGGAGCAGGATTACTTCAAGTCGATTCTGATTCACAACACGAGTCACGTTGGCGTCATCTCGGATGATTTTGCCCTCAGGCGTGTAGTCAACGAGGTTCTTGATGCCAATGGAAATAGCATGAACGCTGAACGCTGTTAATAAGAAACAACAATGTCAAAAGAAACAATTCAAACTTGTCACGTCGTCGTCGTCTATTAATTATTATTATCGTGAACGGAGGTTTTATGTTTGACTTGTGTCCTTCTTAATTCTCCTTAACTGAAAAGGCCTAGACTTGAACAAGCGGAAAGCTAAATACGCAACCTTCGCGGCACGTGGACAGCCTCTCTTGCGCGTCTCCCTCTCCCTCTCGCGTTCTTCCTCCTGTCCACGCCTGCGCTCGCGAGCTCCTCCCCTGTTAATAAGCGCCCCGACGAGCTCCTCCCTGCACCCACGCCCCATCGCCTCCTTGCGCCCCCACCCGCGCCGGCGCGCTCCTCCCTCCCTCCCCTCCGGCGAGGTAGGCCTCCTCCTCCTCCTGGATCTACTTCTTAGGGTTTCGGCGAGCTCTCCTTCCTTCTTCTCAAACCCCGGCGACCTTAGAGGGAGGGGGTTGGGGGAGGAAGGCCGACCAGGCGTTGGGGATGCCAGCAGGCTGTTTAGGGGCACTGACGGTGGTGGAGGCGGCTGGACCATGCCGTGGCGGGGGCGCCATGGCCAAAGCTGCATCAGCGGGGGGAGAAGGTGGTGCCACGGGCGAGCTAGGGTTTTGCCGTGGCGGGGGCGGGGACGAGGGCGTGGTCGAGGGAGGAAGATGAGCAGGACAGGGGTCGCGCGCTCTCCTATCACGCGACGGGTCGTGCATTATCTGCCTCCTTGAACATGGTCAAGAACACAACAATGTTAAAAGGAACTTTATATTATTATTAACGGAATCTCTTCAACTTTCCCACATTGATATTCTTCCTTCAAAAACAAATATGATCCTAATCCTACATTGATGTTCTTCCTTCATCACTTCAACTTTTTGAAGGTGTCTTAGCTGGTTTACTGATGATGCTAGAGTGACATAAGGTGCACTTTCCCCAACAGGGTTTGTCCCAAGCAAACCTACGTTGGTCTAGCCCGACGACACTGGACTATTCTGTTTGTGCGAAGCTAGTTTGGATAATCCAATTCTTTGGGGATTCCAAACTTTTCATGGCATTTTAACTAGCCACTTATTTGTTCATCGATAATGTTGTGTTGAGGACGTCCATCCGTCCGGAGGTGCTCTCTCAAAAAAATCTCCTCACTTGCCGTCGTCCCCTCGTCCCACTTCACCTCACCGCCACGGGCATCCCCCGTGCGCGTCCCCATCCTGCGCCCAGCCACCCCACTCCACCTCGCCACCGTGGGCATCCCTCGTGCGCGCCCCATCCTGCGCCACGCCGCACCGCCTCACTCCGCCTTGCCGTTGTGCCCTAATCAGCGCTCGCTCGTTGCGGCGGGCGGGCACCATGCCAACCCCCCCCGGTGCCACCAGGAGAAGGTCGCCAACCTGGACATTGTCTCCCGCGATCGGTCGAAGACACCACAGCAGGAAGAAAAGCACATGTTGCAAACGTATGTTTGAAGTATTTCTGATGTTTCAGAGGTACGTCGCAAGTGTTTTATATGAATATTGCATAAGTAGATCCGGATGTTGCATATGTTGCAATTGTTTCAGAGGTTTGTTGCAAGCGTCTATTCAAAATATTTCATTTGTTTCAGACGTATGTTGCAAGTATTTTATCCGGATGTTGCATATTGCAGTATCAATACACATATGTTGCAAGCGTGAGTTCTAAATGTTTCATCTGTTTTTAATCGTATGTTTGTAGCAATGGTTTCATATTGTAAGTGCAGACCACCAACGTTTGTGTCGATGAGGGGTGTGAGCTCCCTTCCACAGGCAATCGCGACCGGGGGTGGAGGAGTTGTGGGGCGGAGGAGCATGAGGATTAAGGCGGCGGCGGCAGGGCCAGATCGCGGCCACCGACGCGGGGAGGAGACGCAGGCCGCGCGATGCCAGAATGGAAGAGGCCCACACGATTCCTCAGCAGAGGAGTACGACGTGGTGGAGGTGGATCGGCGCCCGACTCGTCTGCACAGGGATTGAGCCAGGGCGGGGCAAGTCATCCGGACGACGTGGGCGGTCCCGCGTACACGCTTAACGCAAATCCGAACGGACGAGGAGCAGTGCGGGCGTCCGGACGTGGCGTCCACACCCGGCGCTAGCCTCACCGGGCACCAATTGCCTATCTCCGTGGTCGCAGTCGCACAACTGGCACAATTCCACCATTTTAATGCCCGAGCTACTCGTTAACGTGTCCCATGGGCGCACCGCAAGAAACTTTCTATATTTTTCTATTTATATGCTACTACAGTATGTAAGTACCTGTAGCCCTGTAACGCGATGCCACTGGCTCTGATTGGAACCCCGAGCGGGCACAAATGGACGTGCAGCTGCACCGCCTCCTGCCTCTCCTCCTCCTCCTCTCATGGCCTTTCTTCCGCCGCGGCGACCACTCGGCTGCGCGGGATGCGGCGGACCTCCACCCCATCGTGATTCTACCGGGCCACAGCTGCAGCCAGCTCGACGCGCGGCTCACGGAGGAGTACGAGCCGGCAGCGCCGCCGAGCTGCGGCGCGCGCAAGGGGAAGGGGTGGTTCCGGCTGTGGGAGAACCGCACGGCGCTGCAGGACCCTGCACTGCTGCCGTGCTACGCGGAGCAGCTGCGGCTCGTGTATGACCCTGTCGCCGGCGACTACCGCAACGTGAGGGGCGTCGATGTCAGAGTCGTGTCATTTGGCACCACGGGCGGCTTCATCCCCCGCTGTCCTTCTTACCGGAAGTAAGTTACAGTATGCGCGAGTGCATCGTTTGTTCTTTTCTTCTTTTCGGAAAATCCGTGATCATGCGGCATGAAAAACTATTTTGTATGTGAAGACTGGTGGAGGCACTGGAAGGAGTCGGATACAAAGACGGCGGAAACCTGTTCGGCGCGCCATACGACTTCAGGTACGGGCCGGCGCCGCGCGGTCAGCCCGCCCAGCACTTCGCCCACTTCGTCTCGTCCCTGCGGCTGCTCGTAGAGCGTGCCAGCGCGAGGAATGGGAACAAGCCGGTCATCCTGGTGTCGCACAGCCAGGGCGGCATAAACGCCATGGCATTCCTCGACCAGAGCCCCCTGCCGTGGCGGCGGAGGTACGTCAAGCACTTCGTCATGGTCTCTACCGGCGCAGGAGGCATCGTGACCGCGCTACGGGCCCTCGCCTCCTCCGTCAGCCATCCTCCGCCTCCCGGCGACGTGCTATCGTTGTTCGGGAACACGGGCAGGAGCTTCGAGAGCACATTCCTCACCCTACCGTCTCCCAAGGTGTTCGCCCACACGCCCCTGGTGATCACACGGGCGAGGAACTACTCGGCCTATGACATCCCGGAGCTTCTGGCGGCGGCCGGATTCTCCGACGACGAGGTGGCGCGCTACCGAACAAGGACGCTGCCGGGGGTGCTCAACTTCAGCGCACCGATCGTGCCCGTCACGTGCATCAACGGCGTCGGCGTGCCGACGCCGGAGCTCGTGTACTGGGACGACATCGACGCGGAGCCCAGGGTTGTGTACGGCGATGGCGACGGCAACGTCAATCTGGCTAGCGTGCTGGCGTTGGACACGGTGATTGGGAAGTACCTGGGTCAGGATTACTACAAGTCCGTCTTGATCCCCAACGCGACGCACACCGGGATCTTGGCGGATGATTTCGCTCGCCAGCGCGTCGTCAGCGAGATTCTTCAAGCAAATACCGCTGTTTATTAAGGTGCAGGTGCAGCCCAGCAGCTTTATCTGGTTCCAAATTTGTGTGCCACATGTTGTGCTCGCTGCCTATTATATTGGGACTTAGATTCTACATTTCTACTTGAGGATGGTATTCACATTTCACACACACACAAAACACACGCACTCTAGCTATGTGCAATCATACTTTTATGCCTAGTTTGGAAAGAAGGGGAGGCAAACCCATCAGAGAAAAGCACCGTATATATTTTTTTTTTGAGAGAGCGCATATGGACGGACAGACGTCCTAAGCACAACATTTATCGAATTGGTGCCTATGAGGTAGCCTACCTAGGTAGTGGTATTTTACACGGAACCGGTTCATTGTATTTTTTTTATTACAAGTACTCGAATATATTATCAATAGAAGTAAAGTACAAACTTTTGGGATTCATGTCTCAAAGACTAACCTGTAGCTCTAACACTACGACTAGAGAGCCAACACAGATACCCATAGAAATGAGCACGCCTACAACAGGAAATACTGATCTTGCTTGGATAAAATTGCACTTCTGCTGATGCAAAAACAGGTTGTGTCTCCACCGGAGGCGCTAGGCCTCCGGAGAGAAGTGGCCACGATAAAAGACATTGGGGATTCTGATTCTCGCACTCTAATAGTACAATTGACGCTCCCATGTTTTACAAGCCTGTGTCTTCGAGGATTTGGTATCTTGAGTCGTAGATGTTGAAGGAGCTTCACCAGACTCAAGAAAGTGACGCCACGTCTGCCGACGTTGAATTTGAGGACCAGCAGCAACGAATGTGGGAGGTCAACCCGAGCATCGGTGAACGTTTTGCTACTTCTGTATCTGTTATCAATCAGAAGGGCAAGCGGATGGCTACCTGTGCACCGCGAACGCCGGAGACTTTTGACCACAGCATCGGTTTTGGCCGCGTGACCCATGACCAGGCCCAACGGTGTCCAACTTGAGAGGTTAACAGCCTACCAACTTGAGAGGTTAACAGCCTGTTCGACTGGAGCAGCTGGCTGGCTGGTGCTGGCCAGCCATCTCACGTGGGCACTGTTTACATAAATAGTATCTTTCAGTTAGAATAATATTTTTCTCTTCCAATAAATTTATTTAAAAAAATAACGTAATGGTGTATTTGTAACTTCTATAAATGCTAAAGTAAGTTTGAAGAGAGTAAGGACGGTAGGTAAGCCGCCTCCTTCCCAACCCGTCCCCTCCCCCGGTGCCCCCTCTACCCCCTCCCCCACTCATCCACCACCCAAACAAAAACCCTGTCTCAGCCGACCTTAGATCTATGCTCCCCTCAGTTTGATCTGCCGACCTATAGTGTTTCTATGGCCTCTCAGGATTATCTCAGTGAGTCCGCAGATTCAGAAGGGGCATGTCCATCGAGTCCAATTGCTCAGCTTGATCTAGCGCCTCCCTAGCCAGATCCAGTCTCAAGTGATGAAGCAGCCTTGGATTCGCCGACGCAATCTCCAATCCTCACTGAGTTGGCGCAAGATCTCATGGATTTGTTGTAGAGGGGAAACAAGGAAGCTTTGAAGAAGATGGAAGAGTTGCATAAGGCATCACAACAGAGTCCTTGCCCTTATTCAGGTATGGGGCAAGCTCTTGCTCTAGGATGGAGTAATGGCATCTGTCGGGGACCGAATACTGGGGTACCTATGGAGGAGGAGCTAATAACCATCAAACGCTGATGCTTTCAAGCAGACAAGAACGCAACTGCACTTCTTGTCCGTACGACCGAAGGTTGGCCGCGCCTCGCCCGACCACCGAGGGCTGGACTCCGCCTCGCCCGACCCCCGAGGGCTGGACTCCGCCTCGCCCGATGTCTGGGGGCTGGCTCCGCCTCGCCCGACGTCTGGGGGTAGATTCTGCCTCGCCCGACGGCTGAAGGCTGTCTCCACCTCGCCCGACGACCGGGGACTGGCCTCACCTCACCCGATCCTTGAGGGATGTGCTCCGCCTCGCCCGACCCTCGAGGGCTGGACTCCTCCTGGGGCTGGCTCCGCCTCGCCCGACGACTGAGGGCTGACTCCGCCTCGCCAGACGTCCTGGGGCTGGCTCCGCCTCGCCCGACGACTGCACCCTGCTCCTTCATAATGATGAGCATAGGGTAAGACAGGACATTCGAGTCAACCGCAGTACCGAGGACCATACCCTGCACGCCTGTAGGAAAGTACCTTCAGGATACGACGGGACGGGCGCTTTAAGCCCTTCCAAGCATGACAGAGCCCGAATAGTGTTGTAGTCGCTGACTTTTGTATTACAGTGTTGTGGCGCCGCCATCAACCCTCGAACGCGGATCCTGACATAAGCATACGACAACCACTACAATCCAGGAGAGAACTCGCATCATCTACAGTAACAGACGTATAGTCACTTCCCCGTCTGCTCCCCGTAGGGTCATGGTTCGGCACCTTGGCACGCCGCACCGTCCGCTGGAGTAGGATGGGATGTGACCACTTGCTGAAATGAAGCCGGAGCATAGCCTTATCAGGATCAGCGAATGTGCTATCCCTGGCATGGTTTGCCATGTCAGCAGGGCAGACTCAAGGGAAAAGAAAGACTCGGCACCTTCGAAGGACCTTCTCTACCTTTGGTTTTTTCCTCTTTCTCCCATCTGTAACCCCTGCTCCCCCTTGGTCTATAAAAGGGAGGGCAGGACACCCCACTAAGGGGACGGATCGATTTCACACACAACACATCACGCAACACATAGCCAAGCAGCAAACGAGCTCTTGGCATCATTTCGACCTTTCTATTGTAGACTTGGGACCTGTCCCCCTCTCGACCGTTTGTACCCCCTACTATGAACCTTTTTCGGTGCTAATAACACGAGCTATAGCAAACTGGACGTAGGGACATTCTGCCCGAACTAGTATAAACCTTGTGTCCTTTAGTACATCATCCGGGCCTAACACGCAACAAATATAAATTTACTAGTTGGTGTTTATTCGAAACACATACAGTTGGCATGCCAGGTAGGGGACCTTTGCGCGTTTCGATGATAAACATCAGGCCACGGATGGCTAGCCACGGCAACAGCTAGGTCCCAGGTGCACACGTGTGTTTCGGAAGACTAGACTTCATCATCACGGTGGAAGGAGAGTTGGCATTGGCTCACGCCGCCATCCAATCTCTCCCCTCCATCGGCCTCAACCACGAGAGGCTTGAGCGCCAGCTTGGTGTCTCCCTAGGACCCCAGCAGTCCAGGGAGGTCCAGCGCCGCCTCACCCTTTCCGACGCAAATGACACGGCATGGTTTTCCGGAGGAGGGTCCCTCTCTCTGGAACACCACATACGGAGTGCCCTGACATCGCTTCCGTTCGGTCTCTGCAATGCTACGGCGACTGTTAGCCACCTTGTGGCGCGATGCATGGTTCTGCCGCCCGCGAACAACGAGTTCGTGGGGGTAATCAAACACGTCACGGAATCTCTCCACAACCTCCTCATAGAGGAGCCAGGGTCGTCCTCTGGCTTTGACTCCAGCTAGAGGAGCCATCACCCCTCTCGGGAATGCTTCATGACGGGTACCCCAGAGGGACACATCAAAAGCATCCCCACGGAGGAGGCTACCCCGGTGGGCAACCTCAGTGACGAAACCGAGGGGGACACAGCGGCCCCACCTCGCATGGGGGTGGAGCAGCTGAAAGCCTGAAAGCGAGAGATCGAGGAAGCCGGAATCTAGCTTGTACAGGAGTGCGTGGAGCTCGATCGAGAGATCAAACGCTGCGGAGATGGTGGGCACGCACGTGCCATGGGCCGCGATGTAAACCGAAGGATCATCGCCGATGATGAAGCCCTTCCTCGCTTTGCTCGGGTGAGCTAGAACATCGCCGCCGCAATGGCCTTGCTCCATGGCCTTCCAGAGGCCACGACGCCCAAGGATCGTCAGCCCACCGTGAGATTCGCACGCTGCTCGAGCGTGCGGCTGCGTAGCAGGCAGAGAGCTCATTGTCTCAGCGATGCGAGCTTGACACTAGCCAGCGCACGCCCTCGGCGCGCCCCGCTAGGGATGCGTCAGTCCACTAGGTGCCATAGGGCGGCAGGCAGCGCACTGCTATCCCGGTGCATTAGTGTCTCGACAGCAACCACGACGCACGCAGCACCCTCGACGCTCGCAGATGCACCTATGGCGACCCGAGAGAAGGATCCTACCATGGCTATCATCCTCATCACAGTGGATGCTACGACAACAGCGAGAACTGGAGCCCGAACCCCGGCCTGCCGGGCCCTTAGGCCTTCGGCCGGCACATCCTCAATGCTGCTTTCCCACCAAGGTACCAACCACCTACCAATATCCCAAAATACTCTAGGGAGACAAACCTTGGACTTTGGCTCGAAGACTATCGGCTTGCCTGCCAAGCCGGTGGTGTGGATAATGATGACTTCATTATCCGCAACCTTCCACTATTATTAGCTGATTCGGCATGAGCGTGGTTGGAACACCTGCCGTCCAACGCGATCCAAAGTTGGGCGAATCTGAAGGAGATCTTTGTGGGGAACTTCCAGGGCACATACAAGCGCCCTAGGAACCCATGGACCTCAAGAACTGCCGTCAGAAGGCCGGTGAGACCCTCTATGGGTATATCTGGTGCTTCTTCCGATAGTGCAACGAGCTCCCTAATGTTGCTGACGTCGACGTTATAGGAGCCTTCCTGTCCAGGACTACCTACGAGTCTTTGGTTCATAAGCTGGGACGCAAGGGCCCACGAACTACAAAGGAACTCCTAGACATCGCCACCAGCCATGCCTCAGGAGAAGAGGCGGTCGGAGCAATCTTCGATCATCTCAAAGGCAATGCAAGGCGGGACGAGGGCGTCGGCGAAGGCACCTCCAATCGTTCCGCCAAAAGGAAGAACAAGAAGGAACGACGGGAGGACTCGCTCGTGGTCGCTGCTGACCGCAAGGGTGGTCGGAAGCCTACGGAGGGCACTCCAAACCACTTCAAAAAATTACTCGAGGGGTCGTGCCCAAACCACGCCTTCCCAGTTAAGCATCTAC